AGCCAGAGGTCCTTGATCAAACATGAAAATGAGCTCAAAATATGACTATTTACAGTTTGGGTCGGAGCCCAAAAATGCTTGCAAGCAAGGCTTATAAATGAAGCAAGAAAAGACTAGTTTAGGGGAAAAGTGTGCTTACCCTAGAAGAGCAATGAACCAGCAGCCTTTGGACCAAGAAGAGGAGCTCATAGCCTCTGGAAATCAGCTTCAAAAGGCTGGGATGGAGTGTGGATGTGTGGAGCTATGGGTTGGTGTGTAAATGGTGCAAGGCTTTTAAGGTTTTGACGCTTAGAAGAGATGGAGATAGAGAGATGTAAGCAAGGCTCTAAACAAGAATTTGTAACCCCCAAAAATAGAGCTGGGAGGTCTGGTTTTATAGAGGGAGGAGTGGAGGAAAAGGGGGGAAAACCAATTCAAATTTTGCTCCCAAAAGGCACCCCCCCGGATACAAAATCTGGGGGGAAACAGAGGGTACAGCTGGAAGACATTTGGAGAGGGAATTCTAGCCGGCTAGGTTCAAAAGGTTCAGGTGGTCGGCCAGCTACCCCCCTGGCCGGCCGACCAGGGGTCAAAAGGGTCAATGCAAATTGCTGGCCGGCCACCCCAAAAAGGTGGCCTCCCATGTGTGCACAACACAAATATGTGGTCAAAACCTAGAAAATGTGAACCAGGAGAGAGAAAAGCCAACTTTTTAGAGGGGTTCAAAAGGGTCAAGGACAATTACTGGCCGACCTATACATATTGGTGGCCTCCCAGGTGTGTACAACACAAATATGGGGTTTATGGCTAAAGAAAGTGGCCCCGGGGTGGTCAACATTAGCTTTTTAGTGAGGAAAACGGGGCGATGGAGAGCGATGAAGAAATAAAGCTGGCTTTTCAGACCAATTGCTGGCCTCCCACCCTCCTACAAGCTTTCTAACAATGAAAATAAGGTCTCCACCAAAAATGAACCAAAACGGATGCAAAACGGAGGTTCGGGGACCAAAACGCGCAGCTTGGAGCCCCGAAAATGGGCTGTTAAGCACCGGAGGTGGCGTTTGATCACGAAGTTGGTCTCTCGAGCCACAGTGTTCCTCAAAAGGGAGGAAATAAGATGTATACAAAAAATCGGAGCAAACGGAGGTAGTTAGGCAGTCCCAAATCGAGGCACACGGCCGTCGGCTCCGGAAAAAAAATAGAAACCGGGCTCCAAATGGGAAAAAATGGCCTACGACCACGAAACATAGCCTACGGCCACTGAGAGATGATCCACGAGACCTCTCTCTTCCTTCGGGAAGAGAAAATAGAGAAAACAGAGCCTGGTTCGCAAACCGAGGCAAGGCACGAAAGAGTCCGAAAGTCCGGAGGCAAGGCTCGCAGCCGAGACTCTGAAACTTCTGAACGAGCACAATATGCAATATCACCGAGCGCTCAATCAGTGATGTCTGAGTCTTAAGGTCGGTCAAAAATGGGGTGTCTATAGTGATGTAACCTAAAAAAAGAAATAAATATATTTTTTACTTTTTACGAAAAGATGTGTAGAAAAGTAAAGATGTAATGTGACCCAAAAAATATAGAAAATAAAAAAGTGAGCTAATATGACACTTCCCAAACAATCCTTTATTCGATGATCCCTTTTTAAAAGGTGTATTTTTTAAATATGGTTAAGAAAAATTCTATTGAAAATCTTAAGTATATTGTTTTTTATTTTGTTCATTAATATTAAATTTTTAATTAATTTTATTTATTATATTAAAAAATAAATTAGCAAATAATTTATATATTTATATGTATAATTTTGTTTTAGTTTCTCAGGTTATTTGGTGTTTTTTTGTGATTTTACCCAAATCCATTCAAATTTAATTTGAATTTTTACATAGATCCTCACTTAATTAAAAACTATACTGTTCAATCTTTAAAAAATTTTAAGCTCAACTCAAGCTACCTAAGTTTGTAATTCTAGCAAAAGGGTTAAAAGTTACATGATTAAATTTGTAACAAATTAAAAAATAATAAATAAATTGTGATAAAATTGTGAGACTTAAATTATAAATTTCAATTTTCTTTTTTTTCAAAATTTATATATAAAAATTTAACTATTTATATTATTTTATGTAAAAATATATTGTTAAATTTTTTACAAACCGTGCGGATTACCATTAACGCTGACATTTTTCCTTCTGGTTTCAAAACTTTTGGTGAAATGGGATGAAAATCTTTTCAAAATTGATACTTGAACAGATTTTTTATTATTATTGAACATGAAAAAGAAAGAAAAATCCTATTTATTAAATACACATGAATCCAACTATTTTTAATTTTTGCTGGAACGGTTGATGAGCTCCGCTGGTGTTTCAGTAGTGGATTCCTCACTTGGTGGGGGTTAATTTGTGAGCAACCGGCTATTCCGAGATCAAGGTCTGAAGGGACTGTAATGACACCACATAGTCTCTTTTTCTTCTCGTTAAAAAAAAAAAAAATTTATTTTTAATTTTTATTTTTGGTCCAGTAATCGGTGCATTTGTCAAAGGCCGAGTGAGATATTTGTAACTTTCGGTGGATTCTAGTGGAGAGATATTTATGGAATTGTGTGTTTGTGGTTGCGTTTCTCTCTCTCTATCCTCTTCTTCTTCTCTCTTTTATATTCCATTCCCAATTGATGAACTAATAATAGTAGTTCACAACTCTCTCTATCTCTAACACTCTTTTCAACAGTCTCTCTCCGTGTAGTAGAAGCCCTTACAATGGCTGCGGCGACCAGTGCTTCAATCGTTGCTTCTTCGGCTCAAACTCTATTTGCAGCTCGCTCTGTTTCTACCAACAATGTTGATCCCTCTGTCTCAAATTCATATGGTTTGTCTTGTCTCTTTAATCTCAGCTTCTTGGATTGGATCTATCAGTTTCTCTTCATAATTATTAGCTTTTGTCTATTTAGAACTCTTCTGCAGTGGTTCTTCATCCGTTAATTTTCTCAATTTGTATTCGATGCTAGTTAGGTAGATTAATTGATGAATTTTGTAATTGAATGATTGCGAAATCTCCAATCCTTTATCAAATTTAAATTTGATGAAAGTTTTGGTAAGAATGATATCTAATCCAACAGTGAATTAAATTTTTCATCAAATTTGAGTAAAATTTTGATTTGATATCTTTTACTCCCATGCTAAAACTAGAATTTTTATCCAATTTTTTTACATCCCCATTGTCTGGGAGGACATCTGGGTGGATGTCCTGCAGAGGGCCGGCCCTGCCCTAAGGCAGGTAAGCCTTAAGCCCCATATTTTGGCCCAAAATAGGGCCTCCAAATTTAAAAAATTGTTATAGGTTCAACTTTTTTTTTTTTTGATTTTAAGATCAATTTAAAGGGCCCCAAATGTTTTATTGGGCTCAAGTATAATTTAGCCCATATTTATTTATAAATGTGTTTGATCCATATTTATTAAAATGAAAATATATAAATAAATAAATAAAAAACAATAGGGCTCCTAAATTTGGTAAAATATTATAGGGTCAATGTTTTTTTTTTTTGGTTTTAGGATCAATTTAAAGGCCCCAAAATATTTTTTTGGGTCCATGTATGATTTACTCCATATTTATTTATAAGTGTAGTTTGGTCCATATTTATTAAAATGAAAATATATGTTTAAAAAAAAGTGTTTGGGCTCAAGAAAAATAATACATACAATATATGGGCCCTATTTTTTTTATTTTTTATTTTTACCTTCTTTATCTATTAGATTTTAGTGGAATAAATAATTTTGCTCAAATTTTTTTACCTAGGTCTTTATCAATTTTAATTGAATAATTTTTTCCTAATTTTTTTGTTCTAATTTTGTTTTATTAAATTGTTTTATTTATAATTTTAATGATTATATGTGTAAGTAAATTTTCTTATGGTTACAAACAAATAAAAAATTGTAACTTATCGTTTTATTTATGAATTTTTTTTCAACATAAAAGGGCCCCCATTTCCGAAATTCGCCTTAGGCCCCGATGAACTCAGGGCTGGCCCTGGTCCTGCAGGTGCTCGGACATGAACAAAAAAGCTGTCAAAATTGCTCTTGGTGGACATCGGGGAGAATGTCCGGCCCAATATTTGATTTTGCCTCTATTTGATATGACTTTGGTGAAAGGGTTGGAGCATCTCATTTGGTGTTTTTCATCAAATTTCAAATTTGTTAAAGCATCTGATTGCTGACCATCTCCAATCCTTCACCTTATCTTTCACCAAATTTAAATTTGATGAAATTTTTTTCAAAAATCATCTCTAATCCTCTCAGCAAATGTTCATCAAATCAAGGTAGAATCAATATATATACATATATATATATATATTTAAATTTTTTTTATCAAATTGAGAAATCCTGCATCAAATTTGAATTTGATGAAAATTTAAAAAGATGCAGCATTGGAAATGATTTTTTTTTTTTTATTTTATCAAATTTGATTAAAAGTGAAATTTGGGATGAGAAGGTAATTTTTTAAAAGATTTTGATGAAAGGATTGCAGTTGTTCATTTCAAATCAAGTTTTTTACTCAAATTTGGAGTCAAATTAGATGAAAATTTTGGTGACTAATTGGAGATGGTCTAATCCATTAATGAAACTTATATCAAATCAATCAAATCTTTCTCTTTTTGTCACTTAAATCATTTTTTTTTTTTTTCCGTCTGAATTGGTTAAAAGTGTTTTTTGGGATAGGTTAGATATTTTTAAAAAATTTGATGAAAATTTTGATTTCACTATTTGAATGAGTTATATTAAATCAAGCTTTTATCTAAATTATTGAACAATTTGATGGAAAATGATGGAGATGCTATAATATAAACAAATTTGAACTAATTCATTGTGGTTGGAGATTCTGTAGATATATGATACAATTTGGTTGAGTCTTGTTTTCTGATTATTTATTTATTTATTTATTTATTTTTGAAAAATTAGAAACTAGTCTAACAAAAATAAATACTATAAAGATAAATTTGAATTTTAAAAAATTCTTATGTCCCAAATTTTACCAAACTAATTTTTTTTGAAAACTCAACCAAACATAGTGGCATACTTTTTTTTCTTATGGTTTCAATAATGCCTTGTTCACATGTGGCGTAACTGTTAATTGAAACTGTGACCTTTTCTTCCTTTATTTTGTTTGGTGTTTTGGTGCAAAAACTTGGCATCTCCTATTTTCCTTTTGTGGTGCTTAGAGAGAATTTTCAATTTGATCTTGAGGACATGTGTAGTGATAACATATCATTCTCTGCAAAGGCGTTGTTTGTGATTTTTATCACTGAACTCAAAACATTAGTCACCTCAAAACCTAGTTTTGTCGTACTTTCCTCAGCATTCAATTCTATAGGATCTTGTTTCACCTCTTTACCTATGGCCAAATTTCTTATTACACGAGTTTAATAGGATATTATAAAAACAAAAAAGGAGAATAAAGATTCAGTTTAAACTTAATTTGCATAATAAGTTTATATAATTTGTTGCAGCTCGTAGTTTCATGGGGGCTTGCTTGTCGGGATATCTTCGAAAGAATAGGAAATCCATTAAGATTAGCGGAAAGATAACTGCTGCTGCTACTGCTGTTGAAACAACTCCTGTGGTTGAGGAAGTCAAAGAGTATGCCTCTCCCCACTTCCACTAGGCTGCATTAGTTGCAATCCATGAATTCAACCTTCAATTACATAGAAAGTTTTATTTTTTAGGGTAAAATTTCCTTTAATTTTCAAATTGAAAACCATGATTTATACTGAGATTTGACTTGTAAGTTGAATATAATTCAGTGTGACAGATTATATTTTCTTTTTCTCTGTTCAATTCAGAAATCTTGATCATCGTTTGTGAAGTCAAATAATAATTTAGTGTGACTTCGAAATCTTTTCCAGGTTTTCACTTCCTACTTGGGCTGAATTTGACCTTGGAAGAGCTCCTGTCTATTGGAAAACCATGAATGGTCTTCCTCCAACTTCCGTAAGTTTGACACTGCCAATGCAGCTCAGTTTTAGAACTAAAGCATTTTTAAAAAAAATATTTCTTCATTAATCTTTGGATTGATCATGCATTAACAAACTTTGACAGGGGGAGAGGCTGAGGATTTTCTACAACCCCACTGCAACCAAACTTATTCCAAATGAAGAGTTTGGAATTGCTTTTAATGGTATTTTCTCGTACACTTTCAATCACAAGTTTTTCCGATTGGCTTTACTGGCACACACGAAAGAGTCATTACATGTAACAAATTATAATCTCGCATTCAAAAGACAAAGTCATTAAGATAGACTAATAACAGGAGTCTTATCTTGAAATCTTTTAAGTGAAGCTATATATGGTAGCTGATACACATCAAGCGCCAGACAAGAAGAACTGACTGAGAAATACAATAAAAATTACAAAATCTTTTTTGTTCTCATGGAATGTTGAATGTAGTTGGATAGAAACCAATGGTTGGAGATGAACAAGGGAATTAATGTCAGAAAGGTTAACTGCTGACCTGTTGGGCTGTATATCTTCCAGGAGGGTTTAATCAGCCCATCATGTGTGGTGGTGAGCCAAGGGCAATGCTCAGGAAAGGTCGAGGCAAAGCTGATCTCCCAATATATTCAATCCAGATATGTATACCTAAGCACGGTTGGTACTGTTTCTCAAACTCATCTTGCACACCTACCCATGTAATTTTCCTCTTACCTTAGAGTCCATCCATCTTCTTGCAGCCATAAATTTGATCTTCTCATTCACAAACGGGGTCGAGTGGGATGGTCCCTACAGGCTGCAGTTTCAAGTTCCAAAGCCTTGGCAAAACAAACCAATTGACTTTTTCAATAAGGTAATAAAACACTCACTTGTGTTGGTAATCTAACTTGTTTCCCAGCTTGAATGTAGTCAGTGCCGGCTTTGAGGGAAAGCTGAGCAAGTGGCTGCTTTGGGCCCCGAAAAATTGGTTGAGAAAAAGGCTCCCAAAAAATGTCAACTATTATATTTGCTCATTAAAAAAGGCCCACAAAAAGAAATCAAAAAACTTGATTGAGGTGGTGAATTATTTGATGTATGGTTGTTTATCAAATGTATAAATTGTGCATAATATACTATTGACTATAGTTATTACAATTGCTTTTGGAAAAGAAAAATTACCTTCGGTCAACTATGTCACAAGAAAAATTGAATGAATTTTGTTGACTAGTTTAATTATGCATGCTTGATTAGTAATCTTACAATTAAAAATGCAAGAATGTTGATGTTTAAGTAATACTTTGTTATATAGTTTGTACATTTTGAGGAAATATCATTTTGCCCTTTAAACTATCACGCGTTTTTCACGTTGACCCCAGACTTCGATTAATATCAATTTTACATTCAAACTTTCACATTTTTGATCAATTTGGCCCCTGCCATCACATTCCGTCTACAATTGGACGGAATGTGCTGACGTAAGTTCATTTTACCCTCCAAATTATACCCTAAAAATCAATTTACCCCCCAAACTATACTTTAAAAATCAATTTGCTCCCCACATCAGCACATTCCGTCCAATTGTGGACGGAAGGTGACGACAGGGGTCTAATTGATCAATTTGTGGAAAGTTCAGATTCTAAATTGAAATAAATCGAAATATGAGGGTCAACGTGAAAAACAGGTGATAGTTTTTTTTTTTTTTGGGAATGATATTTACTCTTTTTTTTAAGCATACTTCAACAAACATATTTCCTCGTACATTTTATTGGGGTACTAACTTAGATTATTTTGGTACTTAATTTTATTATAAACTTTGTTATATGTTTAAATAAAATTTTAATAGTTATGTATGAAAGTAAACTTTTTTTGTGCAAAAAAATGGTTAAAATATCAGTGCATATTACAAGCTTATTTGGGGATTTTTTTTATTTTTATTTTTATTTTTTATTTTTTATTTTTTTCCATGTATAAAGGCCCCATATTAAAATCCTGCTTTGGGGCCTCAAAAAGTCAGAGCCGGCCTGAATGTAGTATAGCTCTATGATACTCCAATCTATGATGTCAATGCCTAGTTTTTGTCATGGAAAGCAGATTGGTTGAACTCCTACAAGATAACATGAAATGCAGGGCATGCTTTGTATTGTCTTTAAATACTTGTTTCTGTTCCTAAAAGTCAAGAAAAAAAAAAACAAAAACAACACAGAAAATGCAATGCATGGAAGCGTTTGTTGAATACTGATTGCTGAATCAAAAGCATGTCCCATGGGTGTTTAGCATTTCACTGACTAGTATCCATAATCCAGGGTCTTGCAGACGAGTTGAGCAAAGATGGTGCTTGTGACAAAGCAATATTTCCTGATACAAACATTGTCGTCACAAGATGTGCTATGATTGGTAATTTGACCGTCGAAGGAGTAAGTGAAACTTCTCTTATTCTTTCATCGAAAGAGCTAGTGTCAACTAGTTTTAACAACTGCCAATGGTGTCCCAATGCAGGGTGATCGCTGCAATCTTGACCTTGTACCGGGATGCACTGACCCTAGCTCACATTTGTATGACCCACTTGCCAATGTAGATGATGGATCATGTCCATTTGACACAGTGTCAGAGGAATAACATAATCTTGTGGGGGCTGGGAAGTAAAAAATATTATCGATATCTCATTAGTGTTGATAAACTTGCTTCATTGTTACCATCCCAAAAGAGTCAGTCTCACAGGGCATTCTGTCAAAGTCATGATATATTTTCAGGCACTTTTTTGGTTCATCACTGCCCTGTTTTGTAAATTTTTATATGTTGATATGCCATTAGAATGTTGATAAACCTGCCTTAGAATTCAATATTCCATTAAAGTCATGTTATATTATGAGGTACCTTTGTTTGTCATTTCCTGCTTGTGATTTTCTATATATGCTTTTTTATTGGTTCTTTTTTCATGTTCTTGTCTTGAAAAACCTAGATTTGTGCGGAAAACTCTTTTAGAAAATCTAGATACGTCTCATTTAACGTGATTATTGATTTAGGCAATTTAATTAAAAAAATTTATGCAACCATGATCAATGTAGATAAGAGAGAGTAAGAGAAAATCAATTCACGACACGAGTTTTTTTTACATGAAAAATCCACAATTGGAATCCATCAACTTGTGATTAAAAAACTATTGGCCCCAGTCAGACGAATAATTCACTATGAACGAAAGGTAGTACAAGAGATTTCTTACAAATGTCAATTCAGGCTACACTAGTCCACTCAGAGACACATCTTTGTTCACACTACAAGTACTTCCATGATCTCCATTGGATATTCGCTGCGGTTGTCGAATTGCCATGATGCCAATGATTTCGGAATCTACCGAAATCTCCAATCTTGGAATCCACCAAAAAGGTTCACTTTTGGAAAGGTGTGAAGGAGTTACAAAAATGTGATGATTAGCTTTGATGCTTTTGGATACTAATGTATCACCAAGTAACTAAGAGTATTACAAATAAATCTCCCTACAAAGTTCACTCTCAAAACTCTCTCAATAAAATCTCTTTTACAAAATAAACTTTCAAAATATTCTCTCTCAAGATAGGAAATATTTGAACTCTAGAGAGTAAGAAAATAAGTTGGGAGAAATACCCAAATGTTCTTGGAGAGATGCATCAACAAATGAGCAAAGGGTCCTTTAAATAGACCTGAGGCAGGGCACTTTCGTGGGCATGAACATGTTCTTTGCGGGCACGGTCAGCCTTGGTCGTGACCGCGGTTTCTCTTTGTGGGTTGTAGAGAAAATATTGAGAGCTGAACTTTCGGATTGCCTGGTCACGGGCGTGGGTCTGTGGTCCCGGGCGCGATGTGCATAGCTCGCTGGTGCGACCGTGCTGTGTGTGAATCGTGGGCACGGTTGTGGGGCTCGCGGGCGCGATTGTATGGACTGGAGCATCTGTTTTTGCTGACTCTTGTTGTTGTTTTCTTCTACAAAATCAGGCATGCTTTCCTCCACACTTTGCCACCTAATCCTATAGACAAACAGCCAGCATTTTCCATGTAAAGTCCATGACTTACGCTCATGCACGTCATCAAATGAAGATCCAACAAAATCCACAAAGAATCACTTGTGAAGCTTTATCCCTTCACTCATGTGTTGCCACCAAAAAGCTGAGACAAACAGCCAACTTGAGCATCCTAAGGTTGACATTTTCAACCGAAAGATTTATCAACAAACACAATTGTGTAATAATTTTCTAAGTCTCTTCATTCATCGTAGTTGTATAATATCTATAGTACAAATATTAACAAGAAAAGAATAAAAGATTGTAGAAATATCTTATAACTAAGGAATTGATAAGGAATTACATAATTAAGGATATTGCCTAAATCATATCCTTAATTTTAGCATTCTCCCTCAAGTTGGAGCATGCATATCGCACATGCCTAACTTATTTAAAGAGTAACCAAAAACACTGCTAGCGACAGCTTTGGTAAGGACATCGGCTAGTTGGTTTTCAAACTTCACAAATGGAAAAACAATGATTCTGGCTTTAAGTTTTTCCTTAATAAAATGTCTATCAATTTCCGCATGCTTCGTCTAATCGTGTTGAATAGGATTATGAGCAATTTCTATAGCAGAAGTGTTATCACAATACAACTTCATTGTCTCCTGAGAGTGAACACTAAAATCCTTAAGCAAGTTCTTCAACCATAGTAACTCACATACTCCAAACGCCATGCGCCTATATTCTGCTTTTGCACTGGACCTGGCTACAACTGGTTGTTTTTTACTCCTCCAAGTCACAAGGTTGCCCCCTACAAAAGTAAAGTATCCTGATGTAGATTTTCTGTCATCAGATGAACTAGCCCAATCTGCATCAATGTAACCTTCCACATTCAAATGATTATTCTTGATGAACAACAACCTTTTACCTGGAGCAAACTTTAAATATCACAATATGCGTTCCACAGCATCCATGTGAGGTTTACGAGGGTCATGCATAAATTGGCTCACTACGCATACGGAATAAGCAATATTTGGCCTAGTATGAGACAAATAAATTAACTTTCCCACAAGTCTCTAGTACCTGGCTTTATCAGTAGAAGTTGCATGCAAACAATTAAACAACTTGTGATTTTGTTCAATAGGGGTATTCACAGGCTTACAACCAAACATACCTATTTCAGTTAACAAATCAAGAATGTATTTTCGTTGAGATAAGAATATACCATTCTTTGAGCGGGCTACCTCAAAGTATTTTAAATCTTTAAGTTGTTTCATTTCAAATTCTAGGGCCAAGTGTTGTTGTAAGTTCTCAATTTCTTCTTGATCATCTCCTGTCACCACCATATCATATCATCACGTATATAATCAAAGCAGTAACCTTACCCCATTTGGTGCTTTAAAAATAAAGTATGGTCGGAGTTGCTTTATTTATATCCGAAGCTCTTCATAGACTTGGTAAATCTCTCGAACCAAGCTCTTGGAGACTGTTTTCACCCATACAACGCCTTTTTGAGTTTGCACACATTGTAACATCTTCGTATTTTTCCACACCTGGAGGGGGGTCCATATACATTTCCTTTGTAAGATCTCCATGTAAAAAAGCATTTTTTACATCAAACTAAAGAAGTGGCCAATCTCGGTTCACCGTCAAAGACATGAGCACTCGAACTGTATTAAGTTTGGCAACAAGTGCAAAAGTGTCTTGGTAGTCAACCCCATAAAATTGCGTATATCCTTTCGCAACCAATCGAGCTTTGTACCTCTCAATCAACCCATCCGCTTTATGCTTGACTGCAAAGACCCATCTACATCCCATGGGTTTTTTCCCTTTTGATAGTCACAAGCTCCCAAGTATCATTTTTTTCAAGCGCTGTCATTTCTTCTACCATGGGTTGAGTCCATCTATCATCTGCTAGAGCTTCCTGCATTTTACTCGGAATAGGGACAGATGATAACTATAGCGCATAAGACGCATATGACTTGGATAGTTTGTGACAAGACATATGATTACTAATGGGATATCTAACTTTGGATTTAGGATCAGGCTCATATTTAACAGGTGGTATACCACAATTAGAACGAAGTGGAAAACAATATTGAGACACGTGAGATTTAGAAAAAAAAGATCATCACTACAAGTGGAATTAGGATTAGTGGATACCTCTAGAGGAATCTCAGAAGAAGATTGGCTTAGTGGTTGTGTTGAATTGTTGGGAGGCATTGTATTGTCATGAAGAGCAGGATCTTCAGTATGAGAAGTCTCTGGTTCAACATTATCTGCAGTATGAGAAGTCTCTGGTTCAACAATTGATAACTCTTCCCTTTCATCTGAAAATTCACCATGTCCTGAATAAGCTTCAGACGAAGAAATATTGTCTGAATTGTTGGTGAAAAATGCCTCCAGTTCTTCATAATTTATCACTCCTTCTAAATTCCCCCCATGAAATGGTAAACTAGGAGTCGATGCCTGGTAAAAAAGGTCATTCTCGTGGAAGGTGATATCCATGGAAACATAAAGCCTCCGAGTGGTAGGATATAGCCTTTTTTAGTGTTCCCATAGCCCACAAAAACACACTTCAAAGTCTGAGACTCAAGCTTAGTCTGTTGGCAGGGATGCAAATGAACATAAACTACACAACCAAAATTCGTGGAGCCAAAAACACCACCGGTGGAAGAGTGCAATGATCAGAAAGGGCATCCAATGGTCTTCGAAAATTAAGAACACTGGATGGCGTACGATTTATTAAATAGACCCACTGAATTCAAAGCTTCACCCCACAAGTAAATGGGAACATGACCCCAATTAAAAGAGATCGAGGAACTACCGATAAATGTTGGTTTTTTCGCTCGGCAATACCATTTTGTTGAGGAGAATCTGTGCAAGATGTTTGGTGAATAATCCCTTCAAAGTGCATAAATTCCATCAATTCTTTCTTTCCTTATTCACCACCATTATCAGAACGAAAAACTTTTATTGGAACACCAAATTGAGTAGTTATCATTTGATGGAATAGGCGAAAAATTGAACAAACATCACTCTTGTGTTTCATTGGATAAACCCAAATCATACGAGTGCAATCATCAACAAAAGTTATAAAGCACTTCATCCTATTAAGAGTAGAAATTGGGGCCGGTCCCCAAACATCTGAATGAACTAATGAAAAAGGTAAATCTGTTTTATGATCACTCAAATGAAAAGTAGTACGATGATTTTTTTCCTTTACACAAGTTTCGCAAACAAAATCTGAAAGATTACAGCCATGAAACAATGATGGAAATAATCTCCTAAGATAGCCAAAGGAAGGGTGCCCCAGCCTCCTATGCCATAGCCAAATTTCCTCCTTTTTCTTATTCACCGAATCTCTATTTACCATAAGAGCTTGCCCCTTGCCCTTTTTTATTGGAATGGTGGAATCCGTCTTCAAGATAGTATAACCCTCTCATTTGTCTACCACTGCCAATCTTCTCCCAAGTATGGATGTTCTGAAAGACACAGTGAGTAAGGAAAAATAGAGCAATACAATTATGAGATTTTGCTAATTGATTCACATAAAGAATATTACAATTTAACGATGGCACAAATAAGACATCCTCGATTTCTAACATAGAAGATAATGGAACTGTACCAACTCCAATAACCGGAGATGATACACAATTAGCAGTGGTAATAGTGACTTTGGGACATTTAGAAAATAAATGACTAAACCTATAACGATCACAAGTCATATGGTCTGTTATGCCAGAGTCAATTATCCAATCACTATTTCTAGAAAAAGACATACCAGACTTAGCAGTGAATGCAAGAGTTGTGGCTAAATTTGCTTTTGGATTAGAGTTCGCCTCCTTATGAGATGCCTTCTTACCCTTTGGATGCCATTCTGAATACCCATGAAGTCGGAAGCACGTG